TTGACTGCCCAAGGCCCTCTTCTTTGATACACAACTAGCAAATACTGGGGGACAAACACAGTGGTGCCCTGTGATCCTGCCTGCCTTCTAGAGAAAGGGGATGCTGCTTTTCAGCAGGAGGCTTCAGGTCTGTGTGCACACCACCAGGACCCTCACCTAAGTTTTGTACCACTTAGGACTCCCCTTTTCCCCACAAACCAGCCTCACTGGTGCATTTTTACCCACCTAGAATTGCTTTACTTCAGAAGTCCACATTAGAAGAACCATCTCCAGAAGGTTTCCTGCTGGAGCAGTGGCTCTCAACAGGGACCAGTCTCTGAAGTGGGCATCTCCTTTGCAAACTGAGACCTAAAATTGAGATGAAATTAGCACTGATAAACCTACTACTGCAGGGAGGCCCTCCCTGCTTGGATGAACCCCATGCTTCCAGAATAGGGTGGCATCATTTCTGCAGAATGCTTGAGTGGCCTCAAATAACACACTGAACTGTCAGGCACAAACCCAAGCGATGGCGTGAGCCAGCACTGAAATAATGAGAAGCTGATCTACAGCTTTTCCCCTCTGGTTTATTAAATGAATGCTCCACATACCGCTTCCCACTGACTGGAGACAGAGAGAAAATCCCAGGGCAGTAACTCATCATCCTTTCTTCCCCTGCGAAGACTCAAGGCTGTGGCTATGTATGGATGTTGTGAAGTGATAAAGTTGCTGCGGCTTCACGCGTTACCCGGCCCCAGCTGAGCCATCTGACCGCGCTTGGCGCCCTGCAGCTGGGTGGTAAAACGTGTTCGCTCACGATGGGGCTGGAGCAGGTACCCGGCGGCGCGCTCCAGATAAGCACATGCTGCTGATAAGCAGGGCCTCATTCAGCCCCAGGACTCAACGGCTCGCAATGCAATCCTTGGCCCACGAGTCCCTCCTCTTTCCAAGTTGGAGCCCTCAGCCATGGAGCTGGGGATGGGAAACAGCTCTGGGAGAGCGGTCACTGTGGGGAGGGGAAGGAGGGTCAGGGGCCGTGCCAAAGAGGAGGAATAGCAGAAAGTAGTACAAGGACTTACCAGCCTTGTTTCCGAGTACAACCTCGGCATAGCCATGCCTGGACAAGGACAGTGCAGATGACACATGGAGATGACCCAGGCAATGAAACCAAAGTGCTCTGAATTCTGCTGGGGTCAGCGTGTGGATGCAAGTTACATCACTGTTTGAGCTTTCCATGACCAGAGCAAAGCCTTGCCCTGGGCGTGGGTCATGATCTAACATGAAACACATGTCAGGTCCATCCTTGACTCCAATGAGTGGGACCAGGCCCCCTTATTGACTTCGTACCTCAAAAAAGAATGGTTTCGTGAGGTTCCTGCCCCTCTCCACCACCCACAAGCTAGTTGTTTTCTTGCCTGAACCTTTATTTAGCCTCAAGCCCTAACATAAAGCTCAGAAACGCTGGATACAGAGCCAGCCCTCTGGTTCCTCCTTCAGCTCTGCCTCCCAGCCTCTGGGAGTCCCTCCCAGCCAGCACTCCCCAGAGCCACTCCATCTCCCATCCATCCCACAGCCACCCTCCATGCTGAGCCCAACACATGGGATCAGTGCACAAGTCACACTGACCCTCTCCTCCTGCCCATGGAGGTGGGAATCCACCTCATTTAAGCATTTTCTACTCAGCATTCACAGCTGCAAAAACAGCAGGCAAACTCCTGACTTCCCAGAACTAAACACCAAGCACCTCTCTGGTCCGTCCAGATGCTATGGGGGAGGCAGCTCTGTCTGTTTAGGACATATTCTCCTTATTAAGACATTGCCCTTATATTCTGAGAGGTGAGGAGACAGTCTTGGAGGCAGGTTTTCTATCTACTCTCTATTCTCTTGTTCTGAAGTCAGGCTCTCCCTGTTGTACCCCAGCAGGTGGTCAGCCCCAGTGCCCATTCCAGACTGAGCTCCCCAGGAACACAGCTCCAGGGCGAGTGCAGGGTCCCCTCTGAGGGGTCTGCCTGTGGGGAGACACCCGATGACAGCTTGACTGGTGGAGTGAAGCACGACTCATGTTTGCTTGGATAGGAGAAGGACTTGGAACAAATGTCTTGGACTTATGTTGGTTTAGGTAAAAGGACCCCAGCCTTGTCACAGGATCAATGAAGCTGGTGAGAAACCACTCGTGTAGGACCCCTGTGCCCTCAGGCCCTTTTAAAATAGAAGAAAACAACACAACAATAATAATAACAATAATTTTGGCTGGAAAAGACTTTTGAGATGATCAAGCCCAACTGTAAACCTAACGTTGACAAGTCCACCACTAAACCATGTTCCAAAGCACATCTACACGTCTGTTAAATACCTCCAGGGATGGTGATTCCACACTGCCCTGGGCAGCCTGTTCCAATGCTTTCAAGTGACAAAATTTATCCTCATATCCAATCAAACAATAATAGAAGAAAGTTATCACAACTCAGAGACGCTCCCTCCTTTCTGGACCAGGACGCACTGGGGTGCCAAGAGCAAGGTCAGGGATTGGGGCTGCAAGTTTGGGGTCTCCTGTGGTGGGTGACCGAAAACTTGGGATGTTTGCTGCTTGGTGCCTTGTGTTTTACCTCCCCATCCTGACCTGGCTGGCAACCCCTGCTCTTGCAGACCCCATGCCTGGGAAGGAAGAACAGGCTGGACGTGGCGGTGCCTGGAGCAGGGGACCTGGGTGACAAGAACTGCTGCATCCGCATCCATCTGGCATTCTGAAGCAGCACATGAAGGAAAAGGAAGGAGGGGGTGGGTAGAAGAGAAAATCCCAAAGATGCTCGGATAATAAGCACCATTAAGGTTAGTCTGTCTCATGATTGTTTCTTATTAAAAAGAGACTGTACTTTATCTGTGCAGGATATGCTGTTTGGATGAGGGAATTAGCAGAGTGACTGCCTCCATATCATCTAATTAGCAAAAATGTTGATAAGCAGATACAATCACATATGATTAGGATCCTTTTAAAAAGCCACTCCATTAATTAAATAGACAGAGAGGCCGCCTCCAGGCCTCGCGTGCCACTGATTAGAATACAAATATTTACACTAATCTCACCTCCATCAGCCATGGGACACTTTTGAGTATTTTTAGTGACATCAGATTACTATTGATTTTCATCCCCAATGTCAGACCATTCTGTTAGTATCTGAAAGTGCTGCCTTCAGTTTCGGATGCTTTAAATCATGTTAAGGGTTTATCTTAATGACGCTGCTGATAACCACTGTTCAGGTCACTTGTACTTTCTCTTCAAAGAACACAGTCTGGGCTGGTTTTTATTGTTTGTACTTGAGATTTAAGATACGAAAAACATTTCTCATTTCAAAGCCTTGGTTTCTAGGGATGGGGCTGCCAGGCTAGTTTGGGTCTAGTTACTAGATGTGGACATGTCACTCTCCCTTTCTCCCTGCCTCTCCCTGACCCTTTCTTTTTCCCTTGCAAACCTTTGGGCTCACAGCAGTGGCCTCTCTAGAATGGCTACTCATCTCCAACCCTGCTGCAGGCAGCAGACAGGTGGGCAGTGAGCATACTCCATTCAGGAATGACAGTCCTTACTTTTCAGACGGGTAGGATGCACTAAATCCAAGAGAGACAATCCAGTGCGGCAGCCGGTCCTAGATGGGCTCATCATCCAAAGCAAGGATGGGAGGAGATACTTTGCAAAGATGCAGCACAAGGCAGAGTCACCTCCTTCCTTCCGTACACAGCCCCACTCCCTGCCGTAGAGAACTGGCCTGAGACCCTCCACCAGGCTTTTCTGATGTCTCATTTTCCCTTCTGGGTAACAGAGAGTAGGGAACAGCAATTGCTCTGGAAATTTCTGCCAAGCATCTGCAAATGGACCACATCATCGCCCTCCTCAAATCCAATGGACAATCCAATAAAGACACCAGCCCAAATAAATGCGTTCCCTTGGTGAAGATTCAAGCAAAACAGTGAGCAAGCCATGAAGCCTTGGCTCTCCCTCAGTGCAGGAGCACTGGAAAAAACTGCTCCTCTGCAAAAGGAAGCAGAATCCAAGATTTCCCCAGCAAGGTGAGCCCATGGGTCCCTGAGCTCCTGGCTGCTTTGCACTTGCTTCAGCTCCAGCCTTACAGCAGTTTTTATCACCAGAATAGGACAGACACCTCCATACTACTGACACCTCACTGCCCAGTGAGAAAAACAGCAAAACAAAGCCTTACTCAAGACCTGTCGGCTCAACCACCTTTCTTCCTGCCTCTGTCACACTGTTTTCCTCAGGATGACATGCCTACCCCTTGGCTTCATGGCCCCACACATATGATGTATGTTAGGACAGCAGCCAGCTCATACGCTGCACATATGCTCTTTGGTCTGGCCGGCTTTTGACTTCTTCCCAAAGTGTGGGATCATGGAAAAGCGGGCAGTGATCTGCAACACATGCTGCTGTTAGTAGGTGTTTACGATGCCACGTTACACACAGATGAGTCCTCCTCACTGGCACTTCCTTGGAGACCTCCTTCATGCAATGATTCCCTGTGAAGATATTGCATTTCCCACAGGAATGGCCTATCCAGGGAACAGAAACAGATGCAGGATAACCCTAGACCGGATCATCAAAGTTCAGCTCCTCAGGCTGAACTTGTCTCTGTGGAGTTCATGAGGCATCCCTGTCGTACATGCATACACATTGGGGCAGATACCCAAACCAGCATGTAGAAAAGAGGCTGCTGCCATAGCGTGATGTGCCCCAAAGGGGTAATATGCCCTCATTACGTCCCTGCACTGCTCAAGAAACCACACCAGGTATCTGAGAATCATACATTTGGGCAGGTACAGGCAGCAAGTCACAAGTCACATCCATGACATCACAGCTACATCATGCAACTACAACATCACAAGCGTGATCTATGTCTAAAAGCATCGGGCCGGTGGAACCAGCTCCACCCTAGAACAGGTACAACAGAGCAACAGTTGGCTGAGCCCCCTCTAAGGTCACAATTCACCACCAGCAGCCTTACAAAGGAAGGACTCGGTTAAGCTGTGCTGCGGGGCCTCCTGGTGCAAAAGGACATCAAGGGATGAACTGAGCATCTACCCACCCCCGAGGAGCACAGAAGTAGTAGACTTCCAGGAGTCTCTGCACGCTGGTCACCCCTGGGCTTTACATCCTTCGTGGGTCAGAAGTACCAGGCATCTTCCAAACAGCCCCTCCTTTCCTTCGAAATGGCGGATTATTACGAAGTCCTGGGACTGAAAAGAAGTGCCTCGCAGGATGATGTTAAGAAAGCCTACTGCAAACTGGCACTAAAATGGCATCCTGATAAGAATCTCAACAACAAGGAGAAAGCTGAAAAGAAATTCAAAGCTGTTGCCGAGGCATACAGGGTTCTGTCTGACCCTCGGAAACGAGCGCTCTATGACAAGTCTGTTAAGGAGAGCAGATCCCACAGAGCAAGAGGTGCCACAGTGGGTGATAACGGCTTCTTTAATTCCCCTTGTGAATTCCATGATCTCAATATCTTTAGCAAAGCCTTTGGAGGACTGAATCCCCTTGCGCATGATTTCTGGGACCCCTTTCATAGCCTGAGATACGATGGAAACTGGCACAGGAAAAATGATAGAGGAGGAAGGTCCAACCTGTTTTCTGATTGTATGGAGTCATTTATGCAACAGAATTTATTCGGCCCCGGCAAGCAGCCCAAATCCACCTTTGCTGAGGACAGAGCTGGGACACATGTTATCAGATCGGTGTTAACCACTACTAAAGTGATCAATGGCAAGAGGATCACCACCCGGAGAATCATCGAGCATGGGCAGGAGAGAATAGAAGTGGAAGAAGATGGAAAGCTGAAGTCTGTGACCACCAGAAATTGTAATGCCCCCCCCGCACAAGCATTAGCTGCAAGCTGTGGTTTGTGCTCTCATTTTTCAATGGATGTGATCTACCACAAGTAGCATTAATAAATGCTGATTCATAAATAAATAACACAACCAATGCAGACCTCTCTGTGGTTGGGAACAAATACTTCACAGGAAAAGATCTGGAATTCTGCTAAACTAAGAAGTGGGACTTCTAACCCTGTGTAAGGTGATAGACAGTGCTTGCTCAGTAAATAGGTAGATTTATCTGAAAGCAACCTTGTTGGTTTGCATGAGTCCAAGCTGATATATCAAAAGGAGACAGGGTGTTTGATGGACAGGTAAGAGTGCAATATGACAAGCTATAGGTCTTGTTCCCACGCCTTGAAATGCCAGTCTTGAAGACTGCTAACTGGGAGAATAAAGAGTAGTGTGAATGCACAACTTGGAGGATGAGGGACGAATATCCTACCTCTGGTGTATAAGAAGATGCATTCTCATTGAAAAGTTTCTGTACACAGGCAAGAAAGTGGGGAGGTTGAGTGGGGCATGCAGAGCCTGGAGGAGAGGGGCTGGTGTAGGAAAAACCAGAGGCAGGAAGAAAATACCGTTCTTCACACTGGAGCAGAAAATGGGGGCTTTCTTGAGAATGCCCTGCGAATTATGACCACAGACCCTGATGGAAGCACTGTGGAGCTTGGGGGCTGAAAACGAGCAGGGAGAAGGTGAATTTGGCTATTGGGCAACCTCTGGTCGCTTTCTGCTTGGAGCCATTCAAACAAAAGAGAGCTAAATTCAAACCATGAGTAAACAGATTCCAGGGGGCTGAGTTTAGCTCCCTCTTTGTGCAAAGCTGGATGCGGGGACTTAGATGGTGCTTTACCATCCTCATTGTCTCCCTCGCAGCTGCAAGAGCCAGTTCACAATGCATTTCTTGCACAGCCTGCCAGCATGCTGCTTTCGTCCTCCACTGAGCTAAGAACCCGCTCCCCACGTTTCCGCCCTCCCCTGCGCTGACATGAACCGCTGAGCCTTGTTTTGTGCTTGGCCAGATCACCTTAGGCGTTTAAACTCTAACACGCCTCTTATGTTCGGTCCCACGCTACATCCCCTTGAGTTTCCCAGCTTGCCCTGCCCACTGATGTCTCCCTGGAGACTGGAACTAGCTTTCAGGGCCGTTTCCACTCCACTCCAGATTGCAATTGCTGCCTGCGTTTGGGCAGGTCTTTGCATCTGTTTCCTCTGCTGTAAAATGGGAATAACAGACTCGCGTGCTTTGAAGGAGACTGGGAGGTGGTGATCCTACTTGAAGGCTCCAAACATGAAGCAGAAAGTGAATAAGCCAGAACACTGCCACCCCTTCATAAAATAGTTTTACTTTTGAAAAGCAAAATGGAGCTGAAATGACCTTCCTTAGCAACTGATGCCATGCCCAGCGTGGGAAAACAGACCCAAACTGTGTTTGTTATGCTCAGGGCTGTGAAGTCCCTGCGAATCCCTCTCCCAGTAGGAACAAGACACAGCACTGGGAGGCAAGCAGCCGTCTGAGTGCAAGCTGGCTTCACAGAGGGAGGCCACCACTGATGGAAGCAGGGAAAGCCTTGGAGCAGGGACAAACCAGGTGCTCTGCTCCTCCGCAGCTCGGGAACCATCAGCAGTCCTGAGTCTGGGACTCAGGATACAGAGACTTAAGGGCCTTGGTATAGAAAGATCATTTTGATCAGCAGAAACACAAGTAAATATTTCTTCTGATGCTCTCTCTGTGGACACCGTGCTCATGTGAGGTGGCTTCTTGAATTTACCTTATGCTACTTTGAGGAAGTCCAAGGTAAAAACACCATAACAAACCCACAAACCCCCCAGACTGCACATTTTGGATCCGAAACTGAAATGGTCTTTGATCAAAACAACATGTTTTGAAATCTGGACCAGAGCTGAGTTCCCAGCTCCTCAACCCTTTCAGCTTGCTAGGGCTAAAGCTCTGCTTCAGCCTCATCTCTAATGGGATATTTTTATGTCTGCGCATCAGTATTTCCTGAGCTGAGATCAAGATATGCAGGTCTACACACATCTTGGACCTGTCTTGCCTTGGGTCGGCAATTCCCACTCTTGTATGGGTATCTAAGGCAACATCTAAGAGCAAGTTCTTCCTTTTCCCATCGCTACATCAGAGCATTCCCATTGCTGCGTGCGGCAGCATTGAGCTCCTGGGGCAGCTGTGGCAGCTGCCGCTACCAAAACCTGCTGTTAGGAATATGGGAACATGGGTAGGGAAGGGACCCAGCTCACTTGGTAAGTGTCCAGTCCAGGAGGAGCTGCACATCCTCTTCCACATCTCCCTGTGAGCTGCAGGCCACTAAACAACTTGCTGCCTTTCCTGAGATTAAAGGAACAAGAGAACCATAAAGGTCTGGTGGTAGGAGAGCAGGTCAGACTGGGTCAGCAGAGTCCTGCACACTGCGAGAGCAAGTAGTGTGCCAGGAGTACCCAAACCACCACGGAAACACATTGTGTCTTTGACAGAGAAATGAGCAGACCCCAGCAAACCTTGCCTTGGAAGGAAACCCTTGTCTGTCCCCAGCCATGGGATTAGAGTGACACTGAGGCTGCCAGTGGGACAGTAACACCTTCAAGGAGTTTTTGAAGCCGTTTCTCATGCCATTCAGCAGCTGCAGTGCCAGAGGAGGCAGCACCAGATGTCCAGCCACAGCACAGCCCAGGAGCCTTTGCCTCACCCAGTTCCAGCTCTCTGTTCCTCTTCCAGAAATGCATCTTCCCTCTAAAAGAGTGTATCTGGGGACCTTGCCTGGTCTTCCAGGTGTGTTTATGGCTGGAGGTGCTTGTGTGCACTTCCATGTGCAGTCTATCCACCTATGAGGACCACAGGTACCAGTGGCAGAGCCTTTTCCTCAACTGTGGATGGAAACCAGCTCCTCATCCTTCCAGCAACCATTAGACACAATGGGCTCATTTCAAGCACCAGCTCTGCTTGAGCACATCACACTGGGAGGCAGTTTGAAGCCTCCTGTTTGTCTGCAGCACCAAATGCAAGTGTGTGGAGAGGCTGAGGCATTATTTTATTAGCTGGCCCCACAACTACTTTAATGTGGACTGAGGCTGTAAAACCAAAACCATACATAAAAGCATTTGGAATTACTTCATAAAATACTAAATCACAATATTAACTGACTGACCTTTGCTCTATACAGACCTGCTAATTTTAGCAATTACAGCCAACAACTTGAACATATCAAGTGGGCAACTGTTTAACAATAATGACATCTGCTTGGAAAATCAAATTATGTCTAAACATCTTTAAACCCCCACCAGGGGATACCTGCTTTCTTTTTGCAACTGTTAGTCTCTGCCTAATAGGATTTTAAGCTTGCTGCCTGCTGCACACTGTGGTGGCAGTGGCCCCTCTCCCTGGAGTGGCAACAGCATTGCTGCCATCCTATTAAGCAAGGAGTGAGGATCTCTCCTTGGACAGTGATGGAAGCGATTTGGGTTTTGACAGCTTAATCTGATAGACGGGTGCATTAGCTGGATCCCTTCACTCCCCATGCCCTCTGCAGCTCCCCAAGGTTACGCGTGCTGGACGCAGCCAGGGCTGTGGACTGTTTCTCGGGAAGGATCTTGCTAGAAAAGATGGGCTTTGCAGCCATTGGTGCTTTCTGTGGGGTAAACAACATGAAGTTTCCTCCTGCAATGTCCTCAGACACAAACTAGTTTTGTTTTCTATGACCCTCCATTTCTTTCCTCTCTTTTCTCCCTTCTTTCCTCCCCTATCCCCAGCTACTTAAATCCCCCCCCCCCCCCCCCGCTTTGTGAGTGAATCTCCAACACTGAGATCTGTTCTGCTCTATAATGAGATCCCCTGAAAGAAAACAGCCATGCAGTGCCTTTTGCAGCCATATTTCAGGCCTGCAGGTTTTTCTTGCCAAGAGAAGTGACGTTAGAAACAAATGGGACCAGTGAGGAAGAATGAGCATGAGACCACCCAACTCTGCAATAAAGGACCCCAATGCAGACCATGATCCTCTACTATAGAATCAAAGGTCTTCATCCAAGCCCTCAGTTATGTTGCTGCAACGCCCTGAGCTCCACTGATCTGGCACCAGCCTCAGCTCCATGGTCCCACTCCCTCACCCACGGACCGCTCAGCACCCTGGACTGCGAGGCTATTGTAAGATGCTTGAATTGAGATACAAGAACAGAATATTTCCGTCCCTTCTCCTCCCTCTCTCTGCCTCCCCGGCCAGCCTGGCTCTTTTCTGATGGAGCGTGCAGCAAAATCACAATCACATGTTTGTAGCAGTAGGAGGCCATTGGCATGGAAGCGGCTGTGATGTCACTACAAACATTTCCACCCTATCCCATTTCTCCAGAACAGTCTCTGTTTTTATGACCCCATCCTGAGATCTGCAGGAAATCAAATTGTCCTGGTGCTATTTTGAGCGCTGGTGTCATGGCATCAATCTATAACGATGCGGTGTCGAGCCGGAGAGGCTCGAGCGCTCTGCCGCGGTGTCACAGCCGGTTTGCTCCGAGCAGCTCTTGGGCTGGATCACAGCCCTGCGGGTGCTTGGGACACGTTTGCTGTGCCAGCGGGATGAGCCGCAGGGACAGCCCACGGGGCACGTCTGGATTTCATCCCTTGGCAGCTCCCACCCCCTGTTAGAGGTTACCAGCTCTGTGGTACCAGAGGGCAAACACACACACAAGCCATGTGCGGCTCCCACAGCAGGGCACATTGGATGGATGCACGAGTGCCCAGGGGTTGCATGTGAGAGAAGACATGAGCATGGTTGCAAGGCAGTTGTGCAAGGCAAGGGGAGATGCAAGCAAGGGAGGGAGAGATTTAGGGACAGACCGACACTGGCAAGGTGGCTGGGGCAAGAAATCAAGTGGCAATCTGTTCGAAACGGGGAGAAGCAGCATCAAGCAGATACAAGTTCCTGTCTAAACTAGGATTACCATCTACACAGAATGAACTGTGGGTTAGATCCCAAACTAGAGATTCAAACAGTGGTTTAGATCCCACTGTGCTCATGAAATGCTTTCCATCAACATGTATCCCTGCAGACTGGAGCTCTCCTTTGTGCTCTTGTCTCACAGGGAAGAATCAGGCCCTGAGACATG